AATTAGACAGTAATGTGAGGTTTTAAAGATATTTAAAATGAAAGTATTATTTTAATTACAGGTGGAAATATAAAACAATAGTACAAAACGAATAAATTAAACTACAAATATAGCCTATGTTATTCAGTGATAGCATAGCTATTTATTGGTGAAAGAATTTTTAAAATCGGCTCAGTAGTTTTTGAGTTATTTCAATACACAACTAAATTTAAAAACCCAAATGTTTCCTCTTTATAATATTAGTTACTAGCTTTCGCCCGCGACTCCGTCCGCGTGGTATTAAAAAAAAACAAAACCAAGTAGCCTATGTGTTCTTCCACACTATACTCTACATCTATGCCAATTTTCATTGAGATCAGTTCAGCAGTTTAGGCTACAAACTCTAACAAACATCCATCCATCCATCCAAACTTTCACATTTATAATATTAGTAAGATAGATAAGTATAGATAACCTATCTTTGCACCAAAAATGGGATGATTTTTCAGATATCAAGAACGAAGCCAGTTACTACAATATAATCGTGACTTGCCATCAATTGCATTAATAAAAATCTAATTGCTACTTGACTACATATCGATATTGAAATTCAATCGACAACTGTCAAAATTGACAGCTCAAGTGAGGATTGGCAAAAATGACCTCGACATGCTGAGTCAAATTAGACTTCAAAAGTGGTTCATTTAGAAATCACTTATGAAAAACAGCTTTTTTGCAAAATGCATAAATGATTAGCTGTCGCGCGCGGCTATGTCCGAGCTGTATGAGAAAAATTAAGAAGGCTCTGTGTTCTTTAATATTATGCTCTATCTATCCTAAATTTCTTAGAGATACGTTCAGCCGTTTAATGGAAAACTCTAAGAAACATCCATCCATCTAAATTTTCGCATTTATATTAGTAAGATATATTCAAGTCAATAAAACTATGAGAAAAATAGATATTTCGGATTGACATTTTCGTTAACTAGGTAATTAAAAGTAATAATAAGATAGTTACATAATCCTCGGAATAATCGAATCCAGGGCCCGTGAAACAAGCAGAGCCTTTTGACCGCTGGACAAGGAGGTCACATACAGTTATGGAAAGTGGAACCGTTGCATAATCGAGTTTTTATTATCAAAAGAGCAGGTTTAAAAAGAAAACAAAAACACATCATGATTGAGATAAACAAATGAATATCGCGAATATAGCATCTGATATTATCATGACAATAAAATACAGTATTTAAGGTCGGTTTCCAAGCTACATTTAACCATTCATTAATGTTTTTAGTTCGATAACTGAATGAAATGCTTCCGACCTACTTAAGTTTTATTCCGTTGAAACTTAGGTCTACCTAACTCAAATGAGTAAGTAGGTAATCTTACTAATATTATAAATGTGAAAGTTTACATGGATGGATGGATGTTTGTTAGAGTTTGTAGCATGTGAAAGAACACATAGGCTACTCATTTTTGTTTTCTTTTTAGTTCCACGCGGACGGAGCCGCGGGCGAAAGCTAGTGATAAAATAAATGGAAACTTTGCAATTCAGCATTAACGTTTTTATAATACAGTCTTCTCTTTTTTTCCGATGTGAATGAAAGGGACGACACGTCTTTATGAATATTGGTTATTTTTAATTTAACAACGTGTTCTTCCGGAAGGGTTTAACGTCATAATGTTGATTGAAATCCATTTAATTGATAGATTTCGTTGTTAATCTGTTTAAAATGTAAATTTACGGCTTTTAAGAGAACATTGAAGTAAATTGGGATCTTAAAAAAATCTTTTATCTCTAATGTTTTATTTTATCTAAATATTTAACTATTGCAAATTATAAAATACGTTAATATATACAATTATAATAAAGCGTAAACACATACTTCTTTGTTGCCTAAGATGTCAGCAATTACAGCATATTTTTGAATAATTCTTTATTTAATAAAAAGCCCTACACTTACGTCACGCTTTAGGCTATATATTTTAACGCCATTAAACATAGGATGTAAACATTTACATAGGATAAAACCTTAATGTGGGAAAGAGACCATAAGATGCTGCCAACATCAAAGAAGCAAGGTTGCCATGCTTTGTCATCATGTCATGTCATTTTGACATTTGCAATTTATAATTTAACACATGTAAACAATGAAATAAAATTTTCTTAATTTTATGCGGATGAAGTCGCACGGGAACAGCTAGTTATTCATAAGTGTCATTGAACAGATTGAAACAAACTTACAACCAGTTATTCGATTAACATATTGAAAAAACAATTATGAAATCATTTTTGCACGATGTTTTTAAAAACAAAACAAAACCATTTAAAACAAAAAGCGATCAGTTGTTTCATTGATTTTCTCAATGAATTTCATTATTATCTATACTAATAGTATAAAGAGGAACGATTTGTATTTTTGTATGTATTGAAGTAACTCAATGACAGCTGATTTCAGAAATACTTTGTCTCTGAGTAACATAGGCTATATTTATTAACATTTCCGCGCGGACGAAGACGCGAGCAACAGCCTAGTAATGAATATTTTCATTGAAAAACAAAGATAACAAACATTATTATGTCTTTAGGGTATTTCGGATACAGACGGTTGTCACTTAACATTATGTGACCCGCCTTCTCGTTTGACAAAACTGAATATTAATTACCATAATTTATTATGTCTGTTTGACACTGATATTTGTGTCAAGTTACAAATATATTTGAACCCTATTAAATTTGGGGTACAATGAGGTCAAGCATTTTTTTTTTATAATATCTTACTAGTTACTTACTAATATTATAATTGTGAAAGTTTTCTCCCAAATTGCTGAACGGAAAGAACATGAAATTTGGCACTAATGTAGAGCATAGTCTGGAAGAACACATAAGCTATACGTTTTTTTTAATTCCGAGCCGATTAAGCCGTATCAAGAAAATAGACTAGCCAGACGTTATTTGAACCTAAAACCTATTAAAGCTTATCAAGTCTGCTTACGTCACACTGGCCAGCAATACTGACCTGTACAACTTGTTTACTGTTTTGAATAATCTGCAACGTACAAATATCATATGTTTTCACTTGAAATGTGACCGTGTTTGTTCCGAGTCGATTTGGACAGGTGGGCCTTATCGTGACACTTTGTTGACGACTTGACCTAAAGAGACGAAACCACGAAACAATTTTAAATACAACGAACTTTAACGAAACCGACGGACGTGATGAAAGTATTGCCGAATATCGAATATCATCTGTTATTTATCGTTCAATTATATCGCCTTAGTTGGTATGTTTTTGTCTTGTTTCATTTTTATGTTTTTTAATTTAAATGTCAACTGTAATGAGGGTTGCCTTTTGCCAATCTTAAGGTTTAATTATCAAGTACATCTGTAATACGATAATTGCAAGTTGTACCAAACCTTATTTCATGAAATACAACGAGAACACAGAAATTTAATCCCAGATTTTTATTCTGTGAATATTGAAAACATGTATAACGTGTCCAGTATTTATTATACCATTTAAATCTGACCTATCTCAAGTCTTTTTAAACTCTACGATGATGCGGAACGTATTCCCTTACGTGCCCCCAGAGGGCGCCAGGAACACGATAATACGACGGGCATCATTACCTGCATTCACGTAAATCTACACCGGAAAAACCTCGGAGTTAACGACGACTTGTATTACAGCACGCTTCGCTGACTCCCAGACCTTACACCTGAACGCTTTTCGAATCGCCAATATGTTACTAATGTTACTTAATGTCTGTTTCCACGTGGTATTTCCAGTTATTGGCTAACCGCGGCTGCATTTTTAAATAGCAGTGGCAGTCGAGCCAGTGAAAAAGGGCACTCTTCGAAACAAAAGACAGTCGCGTCCAGCTAAACATAAAGTGGAAATTACATCTAAACAGCATATCTTATGTGCTATTAATAGAACCGGATACGCTACTAAATGAAGATTAAAATAACTGAACTATGCTATTTTAATATCTTTGTATAAGTATTAAAATATTGAATTACTGATTGATCAGTTTTTAGATCATCTTGTTCGATTGATTGAGATTTATTGTCATACGTTTATATATGGACATCAATGGCTTAGGGTTTAAGCATTTGTAGTTCACAGAACTTGAGTTCGAATCCTGCCATGTACTAATATGTTTTTCGCATGTAACAAGTGAATTTTTCATAACTTATAGAATCTAACATAATGGATTGCTGAAAAAAAACATACAGACGAATGGGGTATCTCATTCTTTTAGGGAAGTCGGTCAAAAATAAAAGAATAAAGCTTAGAATGATCTCAATGTGGCATAAAAATTTCTTGCTGATCGCCGTCTCTTAATATCATTTATTGGTGTTAATAAATATTTTTTTAAAAACAAATGTGGAAGAGCATTATAGTTATAACTTTATCAGAAAAAGTTAAAACCGATGGTCAAATTAATGACAACAGTAAATGTCTTTTGAGCAGTTTTTCCCGCGTCTTGTCAAATTGGACCCACTCTACTTAAAATACATTACATAACAAAACACAGACGCAGCAATTAACGAAAACAACAGTAAGTACAATTAGCATCGACTCTGCTACAACTTTCTTTTACCCGCTTAAAATAACGAACCAATTTGAAAAAGACAAAAGCAACATGTGTGATGCAGCCAAGCTTTGAATAATTTAAGGTCCACAGATTATGTAATAACATTTATTGTAAATTATTTTAACTGTATTAAAAAGTAAAAATTAGTAATTGTATTCAATTGCTACGATTTAGGTGTACTTTAGAACCAATATATCAAAATTTTAATGGTTTCCTTCTTTATAAAGTGAGCACAATATAGTACGTTTTCCTTCAATTTCTATGTTTCCCTTATTTTAGTATCAGTGTAGAGCTTGTAAGGGCGAGTGTTATATTAAATTAAAATTAATAGAAGATCGTGCATATTTTTAGGGGACGATTGTTGTAAATTCCCGACTTTTTAGTTACATTACTTTATTTCTTGTATTATACTGACATACCTTGTCTACTTCGGAGACTCGAAGTATGATCTTGAGCCTGGGATTGCTCTTCCTGTACTCTCTCAGCAAGTTGTCCAGCTTTTCACCTCGCGCGTCGCCCGCGTACACGAGGTGTGTGCACTCGGAAAATTCAGACGCGTGCGTACTTTCCACGTAGCAAACGAGCCGCGCTGCGCCCGCGCCGGCGCCCTCCGCGTGCAGCGCCGCGCCCGCGACCACGCATAAAAAAAGTAACCACATTGTCTATGCCTTTTTATTTTTTAATTAAAAAATCAATATGTCATCGTCCGTTCGCGTTCGATTTTCGAATTCGTATTTGAAATGTTTGGAAGCGCGCTGGTCGGTTGGTAAGCGCAGTACGAGTGGCATCGGCGCCGCAGCCGGCCGCAGTCATAGGCGCCCCCGCCCTGCTGAGTGGTGGTCCGCAAGGTCGCGCGCTCACCTACCGACCGGTGAAACTAGAGCTTGCGGTGTCAAGAATGCTTTTACGTGTGACACGAGCCGTTACATATTACATCGATTTCGCAAGCCCATGGCATTTTTGTATAACTCGATTATGAACTTTAATATGGATTAGCACAGTTTAGTTACAACTAATGTATCATACACGTAATACGGTTTCTTAATATTAGTCTACTTGTCATATCAATCTGAGCTGTCAATTGTAGGTGTTCTGTTTATTCTTTTAGATGTTAAGATATAAGCTTGATTATAGAATAAAAGGCAGTAGCTGGGTGGTACGACATATAAACTAGATCAAATCCTTCGACGTATTACGACTTCTCTATTTAGACATGTTATTGATTGCTTCTGTGTTAGACCAGCTTAAAGCCCCCTGAGGCCAAATTGACTCATATTCAAACGGCAGGGGAAAAAAGCTTGTATGAAAGTTTCTGTTATTTAAATACATTTAAAAAAGATTTTTAATTTATGGCTGTCAATCGTAAATATTAAAGAGTAACACTTTACACATTGTTAGAAAATTCCATATTACTGAATTACTAACTAGATTCAAAAATTCATTAAATTACTTCCTTCGATATTGAGAAGCATTTTATTAAAACTTGTTTACGCCAATTTTATAATCTTACCAATGTTATAAATGCGAGAGTTTAGATGGGTGTATGTTTGTAAGAGTTTGTAGCCTAAACGGCTGAACGGATCTCAATAAGATTTGGCATAGACGTAAAGGATAGTCTGGAAGAACATATAGGCTACTCACTTTTGTTTTCTTTAATTCCACGCAGACGAAATCGCGGGCGAAAACAACTAACTTCATAACTGGCTATGACCATTCCAATGACTTTAACGTAAGTTATTTCAGAAGCATTTATTATAAATTATGTTATAAGCAAAATTATTTAACCAGGAAGTCATAATTATATTAGTTGTTTGATATTTAATTTCCTACGTATTATTTATTACTATAACATGCCAATTTAAAAATGTTATCGGAAAAACGTGCTATTTAATCATCCAAGTACATTTTACAATCTCGCAATTTTCATAATACTATTCCCTTCAAAACCAGACGTAATGTAAGGGTCATCAAATACGGAATACCATCTTCACCAGCTCACTATACATCCTCACCGAATGGCTTGGAGCCTACCCTAAGTTAGGTTGACTAGGCCATAGTCAACCACGCTGTACTGCGGGACTTCACACATGTCTTTGAATTTCTTCGCCGATATGTGTAGATTGCATCACGATGTTTTCCTTCACCGTAAGAACGTCGGGTAAATTATGTATATATGAAAGTCCGAAAAATCGAAAATCACCTTCACGGTGGGATTCGAACCCAAGACCTGTAGATTACAAGTCAAATGCTTAAACCATTAAGCCACCGACGTTTGTGTACGGAATATACAGTTTGTCTATTTATAAAATTTTGAAACTCATTTGAAATGGGATACACGGGGATATAAGCCAGCGATATTATCTCATATTTGCCACAAAGTTCTGAGTATGAGCGGGCGCACACCTATAACTAAAACATCGCACACCCGTTGTGCGAATGTTGATTATTTCGCCATTAAACTGTTTAGTTGGACAACTAAGAATCGAGTAGTGTGCGCACCTCCATATAAGCTCATATTAATCAAAGCGCGACTAAACAGTTGTGCGATAGTTTAGTCAAAGTGTACGCTCTTAATGACAAGTAAATGTAAAGGTAAGCAGCGTAAACGCGGTGCGTGCGCAGGATTTTGTACAACATGATTCTTGTTAGCGCCACTCTGACAAGCCGTACCATTTACCAACCGGAAGTATAGATGTTACATGTGGTTTATGACATAAAATATACTGAATGAGTTAAGAACTGAGCTTGTAAACTTGTTCGATCCCGGCTCTGTCAACCAGGGTGAAAACTGCGAAATTTCAAAATGTGTGTGTAAATGCATACATGGATAAATAAGACATAATTAAGGGTAAGCTAGGGTCCTTCTTTATAGACAAATACAAGAAAGACGACAAGCTTGCGATCATTATTTTTTTCCAAGACTCATACTAATGTTATAAATGCGAAAGTTTAGATGGATGGGTGGATGGATGTTTATTAAAGTTTTAAGCCTAAACGGCTGAATGGATTTCGATAACATTTGGTGTATATGTAGAGGATAGCCTAATGTACGCCTAGGCTACTTACGTTTTGTTTTTTTAATCCCACGCGGACGGAGTCGCGAGCGAAAGTAAGTTTTAAGTGTAAATATTCCAAGTCAAAAAAAAATACATTATTCGATTTATAAATTATAACACTTGTAATACAAGAATGTTTAATATTTCATTCCTAATATGGAATATCGTTTCCACGCGACATAAATATTCGGTTAAGAGCCAAAACTAATCCCGTACAAAAAATGGTTCCGCCTCACATTTATCGCAGGCGTTTAACGTCCCTGACATTACCTAATTCTCATAGTCATCACGTATCTTTTTAATATCTTTTTGGCGAAATGAAATCATACCAAAGGCATAATTCAAAGACGTAATAAAAAAGACAAACCTCTTAATAATCTCTCTTAATAAGAAGATCTGTATTTATTGTAAAAAGTCAAAAACTACAGGGCCTTGCCTTACCTTAATTAATTGAGAAAACTCAAATCGGCTATCCCTTCCCATCCTTTCCTTATAAGAAAAGAATAGAAAGGAAAAGAGACCTAAATCAGGCCTTCGGCACATACTCATCAGACGAAGCGCTGAATTATTTCCACTTCACACCTGTCTTCTGTGTGGTCGTATTACACCGGGCGAGCCCTACAGTACGAAGATGTTAAAGCGGGCTCTACCACTGTTACACGCAATGTTGGTAACGCTTTGTACTAAAATAAAGTGAATTTTATTTTACTACATACAGACTTTACATTTTTGTTAACTGTATAGATAATATAATATTTTGGTAACGTGACTTTGCAGTTCTTGTTGCCTTATCACGCTCAGTCAACGTAGCGAAAAGATAACGAGCCCGATTCAAAAACACTTTTTTATATTTGTAATTTAGTTGAAATCGTTTGGTAGTAAGCATGTCGTGGTTCGCGGGTAAAAAGTACAGACGAGTGAGATGTGAAAATATACTTGAGTTAATAAAATCACCAAGTGAGTTATTCGCCTTTTGTGTTTAAACGTATGGTTAGCAAAGTTTCGTGCAAAATGTATTTGTAAACAGTGAATTTAGTGCGCACAAATAGTGTTAATGTTTTAAAATCATCCATTTGTTATTAAAGTTTGTTTATAGTGATATTTTAACCTATAAATTGCATTTGTTTTAATGGGTTAGGCCACAGACTGTGATAAGGAACTGAGAACTGAAAAGGAACAGGAGAAACTTGTGAAGGACAAATGTCATCCGTTTCGACATTTATTGTTCGTAAAAACTGGTCGATGCCAGCCGATGATAAAGGCTATGTCTGGATGTAGCCTACCATTATTATGGCCGGAGGCCCAATTTTAGTCCCTTTCCTGTCCCACCTTGTTCTTATAAGAGAAGGATGGGAAAGTGAATTTGACGGTGGAGGAGACGCATAGGAAGGGGAAATATTCTCTTTACGTGCGTCTCTTCCTCCGTTAATTTAGGGTAGGCAACGCATCTGCAATTGCGGATGTCTATGGGCAGCGGTCGCTTCGCCATTTCGGCGGATTTATGTGGCCGCTTGCTCGTTTGCCACCTTTTTGTATAAAAAAAAAATTGGCCTTATTTGGATTGATTTTTATGTGTATAATTTTTTTGATTCTCTATGGGGAAGCTCGACCTTTGCCCTCCCCTGGTTAGAACCTGGTTAAGACCATACGCGCTTTACATTACATTATGTGTGTATGGGTATATAATATACAGCCATACACAGTTGTTTGTCGTTTAGTTAAAAAATAGGTAAACGCACCTATTACCGCCAGTTTAAGCGTTGCTCATATTGATGTCCAAAAAATAAGCATGATGTTTGATTGATATCCAATGAAAATAGTTTTTGAAGTAGCAATTTTATTTCTTACTGCTAATCCCGGAAATAGTTCCCGTGGAATACATTAAATCTGCTTTTTAATGTTTTCTCGATTGAAATTTGGCATAGAAATAAAAAGTAATAAAACAAAATTTGGCTAACTCGTAAAAGTCTAGAGTAATACTTGGGGTATCCCAAAGGGATAAACCGTATGGTTCATCCCTGAAAAATATCAGGTTTTCGAGGGATACACAGTTTTTGTCTTTTTAATACTAATACGAGGGTGAACTCTCGGGGTAATAGCTAGTTTACTGTAAAGGGATCTCAAATAGTCATTAAAATTACCATCTTACTTAAATATTACTATAAATATTTGTTATGTGTTAGTAAATGATCAAGCTCATGATATTTATTTGTATGGTTATTATGGAATTAACAAATATATATCAAATAAAAAAAAAAGATAGTATAGGAGTTGGTTGTAAATGTATAAGTGAATCGGTAACAGGTATTAATAAAGGAAATCGTATAACCTATTACCGACCCGATGGAATTTGTATGAATTAAGAAAATACACTCTTGCCACTATCCAACAGCAAGTTTTGGATATCTGATGAGGAAAAACCTGTCGCCTAATTGCGAGATATGCAGAAAGCCAGAAGATATCCAACACTTGTTGGAATGTGAGAGAAACAGACGGGAGCGCGAGCTACTTTTCCGGGAGTTAAAGCTCAACCCGTCCGAGGTATGTCAATATTGGCGGAGCCAGCATCTGAAGCGGCTGTACGATTATGTCAGCTCGTTTCTTACATTCTAAGAGGAGCACTACGGGATTGACATGTCTTTCCCAAGACAAAAATCCCCCCTTTACCTAACAAAGATAAAAAAAAGAAGAAAAGACTCGTAGTTTTTCGTTTATATGTATGATTTTAAATGATGTGGTTGCTATAAATGTTTAGTAATAACGATATTTCAAATATAAAATAACGATATCTAAAAAAATCTCCTTTATTCATTACTATACGTACTTAAAAGAAAGTTTCAGTGGTAGTGCCCGCTTTAACATCTTAGCACTGCAGGGCCGGCACGCCCGGTGTAATACCACGACCACACAGAAGACAGGCGTGAAATGGAAGCAATTCCGTGTTTCGTCTGATGAGTGTGGTGCCGGGGGCCTAATTTAAGTCCCTTTCCGTTTACCACCCTTTTCTTATAAGGAGAGGATGGGAACGGGAAGTGGATTTGACGGTAGAGGAGATGAATAGGAAGGGGAAATATCCTCTTTATGTGCATCTCCTCCTCCGTCTGATAAGTGTAGGTAACGCATCTGCAATTGCGGATGTCTATAGGCAGCGGTCGCTTCGCCATTTTGGCAGATTCAGGTGGCCGCTTGCTCGTTTGCCACCTTATGTTATAAAAAAAAAAAGTTATTTTTACGGCAACTGTTCTTAAATATATGTCGATAATAGCTCAAATACAAATTACCATATTAAGGAACTGGATTAGCATAGCCTCATCCTATGAATTGCCTATTAATTGATGGATTTTAAAAAAATCATAGCCCACAAAAGATACGAAATATACTTATCAAGGATATGGGTCGGTAATAGGAATATAATTGTGATATTTGTTCCTATTGCCGCCTATTTTTAATATCGAGATTTAAAAAAAAAGCAGTATCTCAAGCAAATAAATTATTGTGTTCCTAAAAGTATTAATAATGAAAAGAAATAGAAATTACATTAAAATTTTGGACAATATAATATTCTGTTAACAAAGAAACGAGAGTACTTACTTGAAAAACTCCACAGTATGGTAAATGTATTTTTGCCGAGATCCACGGACGAATTGAGTTATTATTCTTGAAATCGATGAGTTACACGCACACAAGAGATGCACATTTGCAGTACAAATGCATCTACATTTTCTCTCTTGTGTAACTTTGACACAGTGCAAGAAAATTATAGTTTTCTAAATATGACGGTAATAGGTGCGGAGTTTGAGGGGTCGTTATTAGGTGCGTTTACTAATTTTCTAATCACTAAAACGTTTGTGCAAATCATCGTGACTTTTCCTTGTTAAAATATTAACGCGTTCTCTTCCTTTATATTTCCTTTATAACTCCAATGTTATTTAAAATGATACAATATTGTGTTAATTTAATATGAATCATTTATTGTTTCCAATTTTCCTTAACAAATGAAATCAATTGCAGATGCAAATGAACAGATTATTCGATTACTAACAGACAGTCCGCCAGTTGTTGCATTTAACAGGACAAGTGAAACGAATTTGACTCTAACAATACTGGCAGATGATAAAAATTTTCATTTTAATTTTCATATTGGACAAGAACAAGAAATGGAAAAGAGAGATGGAAGTAAGGTATTGTATTTCAAATGTTTACGATCTATATTTATTTTATTTCCATTCTTAAACGAATAAAAACAGGACTTCCTAGGATGCCTAGCTAGATATCTTATGAGAAAAAACTGAATTAAACCGGTTAGGTTATGCTCAAAGATAAGTGTATACGTAAACTAACACGTGGTTTTTATTTACACAAAATTAAGTGCTCCGTACACTACAGACTTTATCGGCTGATAGTTTTGTCGGGCGGATATTTGAGGGAAATTCGCGATGGGCTAAAATCAAGTCAAGATCATGTTAAACCAAATCAGTAAAGTGTACACACCTTTATACATGCTCATACTTATCTAGCGCTCGCCTATCAGCCGATTTGAAGTCCGTAGTTTTCGCGGGCATTATGTACACAGGTACAACAATATAACATACTATTACAGTTATAGTGCGACGAGCTTATTTGACCCGGTGGACAAGAGTCAAACTGAATTACAATTCCAAAAAATTTTCACATCTTTGTCGTACTGTCATATTTTCTGTCATATAGTTATCTATGCCTATTAATATTTAAAATACTTTATTATAGAAACCGTGATCTTCTAGCAATATAGTTAAATAAAACAATGTTATCATCATACTAATATTATAAAAATGCGAAAGTTTAGATGGATGGATGTATAAATGTAGAGGATAGTCTGGAAAAACACGTAGACTACACACTTTTTTTTAATTTCACGTGGACGGAGTCGCGGGCGGAAGCTAGTAATTCATATTTTTGACATTACGGACAGTTTAAGGTTATTAATTTTTCTTATTGGTGTATTTAAAATTTATCAATCAAAATTTATTATTATTAAATTATAGGAGCATTTTGTACTTATAACAAAAACCCATGTTTATGTACATGTCATATCTAGAGCTGCGATCGCAGACCAATATTTTCATACGTCGCAATCTTTATGATAATATAATCTTTTACGATTGTGTAAGCAATGAATTATTTTACGCGAGGCCAGATACAATACACGAGTATCTTGAAGGGCAGTGTATTCCTTACTCCTGTATTACTGTTTTACACTATTTGTTAGTCAATCGATAAGGGTCACTTCATTTTTAGCGATTAGCAGCTTCGATTGCCGAATGCCGTAATAAACAAATGTATTAAAAATAATTAATTACTTATTGCTTCAGCTATTACATTTGAATTTAGATCGTCATTTCATTATAATTTTCCTATTGATTTTTTATTGCTTTTTTTCAAATTAATGTTTAATTATATAAAAAATTTGGTGGATTATTTTTTTACCTTGTTAAACTATAGAATAATTTTACAGGGCTGTAGTTTCTCTTCGTTACTTTGCGTGTGAAAAAAATGTACTTTTTATACTAAGGACAGCTGTCGAAAATCTTAAACTTGTTATATTTATTATTTTAGTGTTTATCGTAATAATGTTTAAATCGGGTAAGGTGAACTCGTTCGTTAAGTTATTGATGTAAAAAGTCCGCTTCTAAAACCTTGATTTTTCTTCTTACGAAAGAACTTCCCTGGGTGTTGTGAAACATTTTCATGTTCCTACAGAGTCTTTTTGTTTTTTGTCCATATTTAAATTGCAGTGACGTTTAATAAAAAGAAAATACAAAAAAAATCCTGTTTAATACTTAAAAATATGGCTTATAACCTCAAAATGAATGATCCCTTTAGATCTAGAGGTTGTAAGAATCATAGAATTTTTTTACCTTTCAGTGTTGTCAACCGGTGAGCCCAAATCCCATATTAAAAAGTTTTTTTCTGTTTATAAATAATATGTTGCTTTTTCAGATTAAATTATTATACGAAATAACAAGCGATAACATTTTAAAACAAACAATAAGAATGCCAGACGGAAAGACTGCTTACTTTACTAGAGAATTCACAGAGACTGATTCGAAAATGGTACGTAATATTCAATGTTTTGTTTTTATTAAATTTTGTTAACTATGGTAAAAGAAGTGATGGAGTGTGTTCAAAAAGGGAGTGATGACTGAGATGAGGTATGATAGAGTTACGTGGAGGACAAAAACCTGTTGTGCCGACCCTAAGGGAGTAGGATAAGGGGGATGATGATGATGGTATAAGGTTAGAAATAAGTATCGATGATTTATATCTTTATCATAGAAACAAGAAAGAAATAATTTATTGAAAACAAAAGAGTTACATAATTATAATTACAGTTATACCAAATTAAAGCTATATCATATCATAAAATAAGTGAAATTCAAAATAGTGTTTGTTGCAAAAGCTAACAAAGAAAATTTTAGTTTCACGCATTTCAAATTCATTTGTCCCAAATTTTCCACACATTAAGACCAAAGTCCAATGCTTAATCAAACATTCATTTACAAACGGCTGTCCAAAGAGCATTCGAGATAATTACAAAATTTTATTATACTTAGCTGAAGGTAAAAGAACTATATCATTGTGATGCGGCACGAAAATTTTAGTTTCGCGAAATATGCAATTTAAACAAAGTTAAACTTAATAAAATTTTCTATTAATAGTTTTACACAATAATATAATTGGTAACAACGTTTAATACTCCTACTATAGATTCCCGCCAGAATGGCGCGCTTACCCTTCAATCTTCTAAATGACATTGACAGATGTCATAGGGATGTGACGTATATGCCAATAATCTAGTGTTGCACCGCTACTCTAGCGCGGTACCGATTTCTTAACACAAGCTGTCAAGAGCGACTCCCACCGCACGAAATAAGATAAAAGTTAATTCTTAGCCAAATAATGCCAAATTTCGGCAAAACTCGTTGAGCCGTTATGGGGATATGTAGTAACAAATATCCATCCATCCTTTCGATTTTTTACCATTAATAAGATTATGTCTTTGTGAAATGCGATCTTGACAAAAATCATTATTACTTATACCGATAGCAGTGTGATATATTTATGGTAAAACATATAACCACGTTGTCATCCATAATGTCAAGAGTATCTTGCTATGTTTTTTGGGATAATATCCTAATTTACTAACATCAAATGATAGAGCATTCAATGAAGCATATTCCGTGGAACACGAGAACGACAAGATCTCTTTAGATGTGGTACTGGCTGGTCTGTATATTGGGATAATGCACACTTGCTTTTTTTTTTCAGATAATTGAATTCGAAGGTTCGGAGACAACGGCTACAATATACTACGAAGTGGTAGACTGACAGCCGCAAAATGTGATCATCTAATCAGTATTCATACACGAAAATGGCTTTAGGTTAAAAATTAAATTAATTTATTTTATAAATTTAATTATAAGGAAATAGGGTTTTTTATAAACTAAAATTTTAATAGAAATATAAGAATAAGAAGAAGAATGTTTTATTTTATTACAAAACTCAATAAAACTATGGCAACTTTAGAAGAATCGAGAATTTTAAAAATCCCGGCTAGAGAAGTTACCATCGCCTTATTTACATCGCTTTCTAATATGCGTAAGGTAAATAGTTTTAAATTTTCCTCATCAGAAACTAAACTATAGAAGTTTTGTTAGTGCAGGCACACACCTTTGACTAAACAATCGCTCAACAGTTGTGCGATTGTCGATTGTTTTGCGGCCAATTCAACTGTTTAGTTGCACAACTAAAAATCGAGTAGTATGCGCACCTCCATATAAGCTTATAGGAATTAAAGCGGGACTAAACAGTTGTGCGATAGTTTAGTTTAAGGTGTACGTATGCTCTTAAACTAAGTTCTGCAGAACGTAGCATTTATAACCGATGTTGCAACAATCGCTTCTTTCGTCTATCTTTAAATCAACACTGCCAAAAAAACTGGTTTCATGTAGTATTGATAACGAAAGATATAAATAGATAAGAAAATTTATTTTGTAGATAAAAAGATAAATCGCACGGTGCAATATTCTTTAATCATGCTACGTATTCACAATTTGCTAAGAAACAGGCATAATGTAATTAGTTTCCTTTTTTTAAAATTTAAATATAGAATAACAAACTTAATAAACGTTCGGAAATTAAAAAATAAAAGAAACTAATCAAGAAAACATCACACTTAACACAATTTAAATAATTATTAAGACGTTAAAACATTTAATATGAATATTTGAATGTCGATTAGCATATCGAATACAAATTACTTATAACGAACGTCCCGCCCTCTATTGTCTATGGCCGTTTATTATCTACGACCATATCTAAATGTCTAAAACTCTAAAACTGTGACAAGAAGGTCGTAAAGGCGGTTATATTGCATTTAGTCCTACACGCATTACACGCATTATGCGTTAGAACAAAATGTTATAGTCCGTTAAAATTGTCTGACCCGGTGCGTATATGTGAAATTAAATATGTAAAGATCAAGAGGGCGCTGTGAAAAAATGCCACAAGATATTTGACGTCTTGTAGCCGTCTTGCCTTCTTATTCTTTTATATATTATGCTTAGGCATAGAAAAAGAATATCTACTTAGGTACATATACATTTTCTGACAAAACTGCGTTACTAAAGTTTCTTACCGGGTCGGATAACTTTATCCGATTATAGATCATGATATTATACTCTATATTGTCTTATAGCACAGATTAACAACATATTTGTCAACGTCAATAATTTTTGACGTTTGATTTATATTGCCAGTTAGAAATTTTGAAATAGAATTACAGGTGATTAAATATTATTGTCCGTGTGTCATAAATAACATGTTTATCGCTGTTTGTATAGTTTTTAGTTTGTAATTTTTAACCTATAAAAATCATAGTGACAAGACCTTACAGTTCGTAATTTTCGATAGACTTTTATAGGTTAAAGTAGAAAACCCTGAAACTTTAACCAAAATCTATATAAATCACTTGAATTTGTCGAAAGTGAACGTGGCCTTTGATTAATTTGATTACAGGAATTAATTAATTCAATTTTTAAAACTTTTTCACTCTACATTCTATTTTAAATAAAACCCGACGAACTTGTAACATTTGATCTAGTTAACTACGTCATTCTAGCCTAGGTAGGATAAAGTTTACACTGGCTTCCATTAGAAAAGAAAAAACTTCGCATCATACTAATGTTATAAATGCGAAAGTTTAGATGGATGAATATTTGTTAGAGTTTGTAGCACAAACGGCTGAACGGATTTCGATTAAATTTGGCACAGACTTGGAGGATAGTCTGGAAGAACACGTAAGCTATTCAGTTTTGTTTTTTTTTAATTCCACGCGGACGTAGTCTCAGGCGAAAGCTAGTATTAGAATAAAATCTAGCAATTTTGAACATTAAAATGATTAACTAAACTAAGATACAAGTTTTACTTTTTGTATCTTCAAATGGCTTTACATAAAGAATTTCAACCAGTATTCAAGTTTGATTTTAGAAAATAGAGGAAAAATATTTATTGTAACTAGTTAAATAATATAATAAACATCAATTAGTTATCTAAAGGAGCATCAACTGATCGTAGAGCGACTCCCAAAACCAAGTCTTACGAAAGTTTTCCATGAGTAAGTCTGGTCTCTCACCGAGAACGAACCAATTGAAGTATCTCAGTGTCGTTATCTAAAATTGTTTAATAAGTAATTCTGACAGCATAATTAAATGTTAACCTGTATATCTCGTTAAATAAAAACACAAACTTTATATCCATTGACCGAGTTATCACAGTATGAGTTCAAAGTAGGTGGGTAGTATTACCTTTTGGGGAGCGCGGCGTAGTGACACATCAAACGAAGGCTTCTGACGAAAGGCGCGCTAAAGGCTTTATGATCTGCTTAGTGAATAGCTGGTACACGATCACGATACTCTGTTATTATCTGTGGTCTAATTACATATATGTTTGAAGCAAATAGTTTGTCTATGGTATTTAAAATATGAAACAGATATAGTCTATGATGACATTAAAAACTATGTTATTAAGCGCCAATAGCCTAATGGTTTGGGATATGGCCTATTGATCTTGCGGTCGAGAGTTCGAATCTCGCCATTTGACTATTGTCGTGAACCATATCCTAGCACAAGGCTACAGCTTAGTTGGACTAGTTAAAACTACTATTAAGGAATTATCAAAAAATCTTCTAATACTCTATACAAAAATATTAAAAATAAACTTCACCATAAAAATTGTCATTAACTAATATCCTTTTTCTATAAGTATTATAAGGAATATAACGTCAGCAACTTCTTCGATTCTCGTAGTTACATTGTCGCAATAGTTTAGCTATGAAATAATTACATTAGTATTTAGCGAGCAATGTACACATCTCTGAATGCTAAATAGCTAATTAATTTGCATTTACGCATAGAATTATCCACTTATATCATAACCATAAAAGGGCTATTAAATAGTATAGTGTTATTCAAACTTTATGACTGCTCGCAACTTTTGTTAATACACAACTGGCGAGATATAAAGGGAAGATAAGGTAGAGTATAAGGACGGTAGGCCTACCAGACTCCTGAGAAGACGTGCTAGGAGCTAACGACGAGCCGCTATTAAGTTTGTATCTTGTTATACATTAAAGTATGTATTTAAAAGTGTCTTAGGAAATAAATTACTTTGGCAGAATATCGTATTCAATTTTTATTATACATCTAATGCAGAAGCCACTTTAAATAGCCTCGTGAATTATTCTTAACATAAATTAGTTATTATTGATTTATTTAATAGGTTATTGAATTGCGTAATCCTGTCATAAACGGTATCGCATAAGCTCTAATGCATTTGGAATGTACGAGGAAGCTCGAAAGCCTTGGCAGTTTCGTAATCTGATAAAATGTTAAAAGCTATATTTTAACATCTTTATTGTGTTATGATTTATATTATAATTTTGTTCATTTTTATGTGATCTAAATTTGACATGACCTTGTTACTATACAGAATTTATTTTTTATTTTTTTTTTATTTCTGCGAAAACCTGCATATACAAGTTCATTTTTTTAAATAAATAAACTTGTATATGCATACCGAAAGGAATAAGTTCTACTGAAATGATTTTATCCATAAAGCGATTAGCCGTGTGCTGTCGGTCTGTAGCATTAGTTACTTAGTTGTAGATAGAGTCCAACATACTTATATTTGAAATGCGAAAGTTTAGATGGATGGATGTTTGTTAGAGTTTGTAGCCTAAACGACTGAACGGATTTCAATGAAATTTGGTATAGATGTAGAGGTTAGTCTGGAAGAACACATAGAGAATTTTACGCGGACGGAGTCGCGGGCGAAAATTAGTTATAAATAAATAAATAGTACTTTTATTGCCACAAAAACAAGCTACTAATGAAATCTTACATACATCAACCTTAAAGCTAGTAAAAAGGAAAATGTGGCAAAAGGCGACAAGCTCAGTTAATGGAGAGACTGCGCAGGCCGTTTCTGCGCTGGTTTTCAGCTGGCCCCTTTACACACAGGTATTTAGACACAAGTTGGGTGACTTAACCTTGATATTAAATATAGCATTATCCCTTACAAATGCCACTACACAGAAAACAAACTCGTAATGAAAATAATTCCATTTTCTCTGACTTGCTATCATCTGTAGAAATTTACCATAAATATCAAAACACCAAGTATTTCTATCAAGGAATCCTGTCAGTTACCGGACATAGAATAACAAATAGGAGGCGTTTGTAAATCGCCTTAATATCAAGGTAGTCTTGTCACAAAATTCCAATAGTGTTATATATTTTATTAGAGAGATCTTGGCCATTACCAAATCTCTAAGCTATTGTTGTATTGGTCCATTAACGCGTGGGCGTATCGGAGTTTGTTTGTTTGGTGACTAATAGATACATATATTGATTTAATGTAATATTTATTCTCCAACGACCTTGAACGACCTTCATAATAAATATTTGAAAGTCGCTACAAAAATACAAACTTCATCGTGGAAATAATACAAGAAATGTTAACAAAAAAGGCTTTACAATATTACATAGAGTATTAACATCCTTGCTTTTTTTAATAATATTATTCATGTATAGAAAATTAATATTGCAACTTCTCTCTTCTTTATGGTCATCATCAACTTGCCCTTATCCCTTACGGAGGGTCGGCACAGTATGTGCTGCTCCATACATCTCTATCAGCCGTCATATCTGAACCTACTCCTTTCTTAAACATATCCTCTTCCACACAATCCGTCCATACTTTAACTTTTCTCTTCTTTAAGATACCTCTATACAATTGTGACAAGCAAATTAATACCTTTATTTTGAGTACGATTTCATCAGGAAAATCTATAAGGGTTACTAGTCTCTATTTTGTCACCACTAAACAGCTGGCAACCTCTACTCTTGCCAGGAATAACATAGGTTAGGAAACCCAAAACATGTTTAAAAATAT